CCGAACTGATACTCCTCGCGACAGCACCTCCTTGGCCAATTCCTCTGAGGAAGGACCTCCTTTTTCAGAGACGGGGCACCCTATGGCACCCTCGTCCCGATCTTTGGAGACTCCACGTGTGGCTCCTGGACGGGACGAGGCAGGTTTGAGTACCCTGCCACCAGCGGTGGCGGCTACCATCACTTCCGCTAGAGCATCGTCCACGAGACATGTCTATGCGTTGAAGTGGAACCTCTTCGTCAACTGGTGCTCTTCTCGCCGAGAAGACCCCAGGAGATGCTCGATCAGCGTTGTGCTTTCCTTCCTGCAAGACGGGTTGGAGCGAAGGCTGTCTCCCTCCACCCTGAAGGTGTATGTGGCCGCTATCGCCGCATATCACGAAGCAGTGGAAGGTAAGTCTCTTGGAAAACACGACCTGATCCTCAGGTTCCTGAGAGGAGCGAGGAGACTGAATCCTCCTCGCCCTCCTCTCGTTCCCTCTTGGGACCTCTCAGTGGTCTTAAGTGCCCTGCAGAGGGCTCCCTTTGAGCCTCTGCAATCAGCTGAGCTTAAGATCCTGTCAATGAAGACAGCGCTCCTGGTTGCGTTGGCCTCCATCAAGAGGGTAGGGGACCTGCACGCATTCTCCGTTGACGAAGCGTGCCTGGAGTTCGGGCCCGGCCTCTCTCACGTGATCCTGAGACCCCGGCCCGGATATGTGCCCAAGGTTCCCACCACTCCCTTCCGGGACCAGGTGGTGAACCTGCAAGCGCTGCCCCGGGAGGAGGCAGACCCAGCCTTGGCACTGCTCTGTCCAGTACGCGCACTCCGTGCTTACGTAGACAGGACGCAGTGTTTCAGGACCTCAGACCAGCTCTTTGTCTGTTATGGTGGGAAGCTGAAGGGAAAGGCTCTCTCCAAACAAAGGTTGTCTCACTGGATAGTGGACGCCATTGCTTTGGCATACCAGCAGCAAGGTCGACCATGCCCCCTTGGTGTGACCGCCCACTCCACCCGGAGTGTGGCGTCCTCTTGGGCTTTAGCGCGTGGCGCCTCGCTAACAGACATCTGCAGAGCTGCAGGCTGGGCGACACCTAACACATTCGCCAGATTCTACAATCTCCGAGTGGAGCCAGTCTCCGCCCATGTACTGTCTTTTTCAAGCTAACATGGGAGCTGTTAAGTGTCTCGCTTGCTCGCCATTCCACTCCACGGACTGGATACGTGCGATATTTCCTCAGGTGAGCCTTCCCCTCTGAAGCCCTGAGTTCCTCCAGCACTGTTGACGCTGGCGCCAGTGTCTATTGCCTGTGCGTCGGCTAGGTGCCTCCGTGTGCATGGTTCCTCCTCTGAGTAACCCCCACATGTGTATTTTCCACGGTAAGCCTCTTTGAGCATGTGTCTTTCCCTCGGCAAGTCACCTGCCACTCCTGGAGTTGAAAGTAGATGCCACCCTACGGGCTGGTCACTCCAGTGTTCCTCCATATGAAGCCCCCTCGGGCCATATGTGTATTCTTAAGTCCTCCCTACGGGTAGGCATGCTGCGGCATATCTCCCCTGAGATATGCTTCCCAGTGTACCTTGGTATTCCTGTGTTAGTAGGACTCCTTCGTCCGTGCCTATATCACGACAGGGAGGTCAGACTGCGCAGGGCACTGGAAGACAGCTGTGAAGGTGGCGTGATTACACGGGGACCCCCATTCTCCGTCATCCGACGTAACTCGGAGTGACTACGAAAGGGAACGTCTCGGTTACGGATGTAACCCTCGTTCCCTGAGTAGGGAACGGAGACGTTACGTCTCCGTGCCACTTCCGCTGTACCGCTGGGTCGACGCCTGAGTTCAGTCTCGGCTCCTCAGCGAAGACATGATCTGCTGTTGCAGGTGTCTCTCCTTAAATACTCACGCGGTGAGGCGGAGATACATTATGCAAATTCCGCAGACCCATGGCATTTCATTGCCATTGGCTCGTTTTTTAATACTCGAAGAGGATTGGCTTTCTGGCGAAACCCCCATTCTCCGTCATCCGACGTAACGTCTCCGTTCCCTACTCAGGGAACGAGGGTTACATCCGTAACCGAGACGTTTATGTATTACAATATTTGTTTATTATATATTATATTAAACTGAAAAAAATATATATATAGGCTACATATACATATATATACACTACCGTTCAAAAGTTTGGGGTCAGTGAGAATTTTATTTTTATTTTTTGGAGGAAAGAAATCAATACTTTTATTTATCAAGGACAGTAAAGACATTTATAATGTTACAAAAGATTCTATTTCAAACAAATGCTGTTCTTTTATACTTCCTATTCATCAAAGAATCCTAAAAAAACAAAAAAAACTGTACAACTGACAGACCAACACCTGTTTCAACATTGATAATAATAATAAATGTTTCTTGAGCATCAAATCCTCATATTATACTGATTTGTGAAGGATCATTTGACACTGAAGACACTGACACTGGTGATGCTGAAAATTCAGCTTACACTTTACTATATATTCACACAGAAAACAGCTGATTTACACTGGAATAATATTTAATACTATAACTGATTTTTGTTGTATTTTTAATCAAATAAGCGCAGCCATGGTTAGCAGAAGAGAATTCTTTTAAAAGTATTTAAAATCGTACCGACCCCCAACTTTTGAACGGTAGTGTATATATATATATAGTATTTTTTATTATTGTTATTTTTTTTTATCAAAGTAAGTTTATAAACGATAACATGTACACATTGGGGGGTAGGGCCATTTAAATTGTTACCAGGGGAAGTGAAAGTGGAAAAAATCCTTATATTGTAACACTGGATGTGATTTTCAGTAGTTCCGATTTTCAGTAGTTCCTTTGAGAATTATTTAAAAAAAAAAAAGTAAATACACACATTATTCATTGTTTGTTTGCTTCTGCATGCATTTTCTACAATAGTGGATGTCTATGAGTAAAGGGAACCAGATGCTAATAGATGTTTTCGACATCTCAAAGACCTCCATTAGGGAAAAGGGAACAATCGGCATAAACACTGAAGCAGGAAGTTCTTGAAGCTATTTAAGGGGCCACACTCCTCTTTTTACATTTGGTTTTAGTAACCCAAGCCCACAGTATATACTGAGAACACTGGGAAACAACCCTTTTTAAAATCTCCACAACACCAGGAAGGCATAAAAAAAATACCAAGGTCGTTGACAAAGGCTAATCACGGTTGCTTAGAGACAGATCACAAAACATTCCTGGCCATTTTCTTATGTAGTTCTTGAACCTAGTCAGAGAGAGTACCACTTACTCTCAAAAACATTTTAATTTTATGCCCCATCAGCAGACTGAGCTCTTCAGCGATAATGGGAAGCAAACCAAACAAGCTTCCCTAAGAGCAAAGTCTACAAATACTGACCACAAGCTCAAATGTGTCCATGGTGATTACATAAAAGCACACTGATGGTTTGTGTGACAGATGTCTCCCGCTGGACTTCATCTTCCTGTTATGCAAGAGCAGGGCGGCCCGCAGACTAACGTCTACGATGCAGCTCAGCACGCTGTGACATCGAACTCATCCAGGTCAGGATCGCAGAGCAAACGCAAGCTGCTATTGCAAGATGGGTTAACCATTTTTGGCTCAGATTTATCTTGCTAAATATTGCAAATATTGCCAAAACGTTTTTCAAAGAGACCTTCAATAGAGCTTAAACAGAAGTTATTTTACAGGGCAAAGGTTAGGGTTAAATAAAATTATAAAAGTTATGACATTTGTGTCAATTAAAAAAATCTAGGTATCATTTCACAATCCAGTCACGGCCAATTTATGGCTCGAATTGATACCATAAAATCAATGTCATTGTTACTGTTTGTATCACTGTGTACAAGTCCGGAAGATCTTATGTCTAGTAAATTTATGCATTTACTAGACAAGTAAAATGGCATAAATTATTATGTTGTGTTTTCTGAAAAAAATTTAAATTACCGTAAGTGATTTTTTGCTTAAAACAAGCAGAATTATCTGCCAATGAGGTAAAAAAAAATAAAAAAAATCTTGTTTCAGTTTGAATTAAGATTATTTTTCTTACCCCATTGGCAGATAATTTAGCTTGTTTTAAAAAAAAATTAAAAAAAAAAAACACAACATCTTATGCCATTTTACTTATCTAGTAAAAACATCTTGATTTAAGAGTTTTTAGATACTGTATTTAGACTGGTAACAAGACAAAATACTAAGTAAGAAAAGCATTTTTTTTTTGCAGTGAATGTTAATTATGAGAAAATTAAAGTGTCTTTTGACCTTGCATTTATATGCATGTAACCCTATTGTAGGAGACCTCCAAAACAAAAATATTAAACTTTAAAATAGCATAATAGAGGCACTTTAAATAAGTTACTAATTACTAAATTGCTTATTAATTACAGAAATACTACATTACTTATTTCTCCTACCGCATGTCATATGCTACTTTCTAAATTATTATAATTAAAAGATGTAACTGATTAATTGTTGAGTCGTGCACAACAGTTCATAACATACACAACATGCCTAGAATTATTCAAATGTTTTTGTTTTTTTAAATATTGCAGACATGAACATTGAAGTTCGGGGCAAGAATAAAACTAATAATTTAAATTATTATTTATAGATAGCGTGGTTTTGTTCTGAGCTACATTAACAAGCAACAACTTGCAGGTAGAGCAGCTCCTTCTAAACGTATCCGGCTGGAACACAGCGTGCTCGATCTGCTTGAAATCTGTGTTACTATGGGCACTGTTGATTTACCGGACGGGCCCCATAGGTTCAAAATCAATATGTACAGACTTGTGTCACACATGAAAAACAACACTTTCACATCCTGTTTTAGTGCTACAACTCAGTAGAGAGGAAACCTTGCTTGGTCCTCAATAATGGATTAGAAGAAGAGGAAAAAACATGATAATGTCAATGTTTAACAAGTGGGTATCAAAACAAATAGTAAACTATTAATAATTCAATAACCTCTCAGAATTGTAAGGGTGTATAAAAGCACTTACTTCTCATATATCCGTTGACCTCTCATAAAAACTTTGGCTTGACTGTCCAGTGGAAAGGTTCCGTCATCCTTCCTGAAACGGTAGAACAGCTTCATATCTTTGAACTCCTTGTGTTCATCACAAACTGTGAGGACAAACAAATTCAAAACAGGGTTGTTGTAAGTTAAGTGCAGCTGAAAAAGTTAACAAATTAACAAAGACACTGCTACAAGGACAAGTCATGGTCTAAAGATCAATTTGGTTTCCTTGACAGTGTAACAGTTGAGATCATGTTTTGTTGTACTTTTGCACATCAAATATTGAAGGGATCAATTCTGTCATCATTTACTCAACCTCATGTTGTTCCAATCCTGTATGACTTTTTTTTTTCTTCCATGAAAAAAGGTGAAGTTCTAAAAGATATCTTGGCCGCTCTTTTCAATATAATGAAAGTGAATGGGGACTGGGCCTGTCAAAAACAATCACCCTAAAAGTATAACAAAAGTGGTCCATTTGACTTCTGTCATAATGACTGAAATTTAAGCTGTACTGCATGTACTGCACAAGCCAAAAGAATAAAAAAAAGGGTACATTGACAGCATTTGATGTGAAGAAAATGGCTTCAGATCACTTATAGTTTGGCGCACAATTCTTATGGACCACTTTTATGATACTTTTATGGAGCTTTTTTTGTTTGATGGCCCCAGCCCCCATTTACTTTCATTATAACATTAGCCAGGATAATCTTCACACAGGTTTACAACAACATGAGTAATTAATAGGGCTGGAGGAAAAAAAAAAATCGATTCAACGAACTATCGCAATTTTTTATTTTTATTTTTTCAGAATCAATATTAATTCATTTTAAATTGCTTTATTTTAGTCCTTGGTTATAGGCAGAGGAAAGGTACCTCTTTTATTTCAGCAGAGGGCCTGGCTTGACAATAAGGACGGCCCAATGAAACGAGGCTCGGGACAGTTGACGCAACTGTCACTTTCCCGATCAAGAAAATCACGAAAGTTTATTGCTTGCACGTGTTTTTAAGCCTAGTCAATTTAAATATTTAAATATACTATACTAAATATGCGAAGAAGAACCCAATTCAATAGTGTGAGAAGTTCTGTGTGAAACTTCAGAAAAAAACTCCAGAAAGCCGCTTCTCAGACAGCGCACAAATGTTAAATTGAGCTGTCTTTCACATCTTCTTGCTCTTGGACATATTCACACAAAATTACGTCAAAAAATGCCAGTCTCGGCGGGTATCCTAGTAAACATAGTCTGCTATATATTGTGAACGTAAATGGTTGAGAAATAAAATGCATGTGTAACAGTATATTGGATCCATGCAGCTCTTAAAGTGACAGCAGCCTAATAAACCTGCTGCTGTCTTTGTTTTTAATATTAATCAAACAACAAAGAACTAAGAAAAAACACTCACTGCTCTTGACTGAGTAACTTTTGTAACTTTAATAAGGATTAATCTATTTTTTATTTATAAAGTAAAGACTATGCGTAGCATTTTACATTTGATTATTCATTTTCTCTACCTGAAAAGTACTGTTTTACGTATTTGTTTGTTCTATTGAATATGTGCTATTGCTCGTAATTTTATTATTTGTTCTTATTTTATTACTGACAGTTTACTTGTCTTTAACAATATTTGAAATATGTTAGGCTAGTCATTTTTTGTGTCACAACCATATTTAATAAGGTTATGGGTCAAAAACAACATAAGACAATAGAAAAAGACAATAACTAGGTCTGTTTTATTTTTATTTTATTTATTTATAGCTTTTTTGTGGTGGGGCTAGTAAAAAAAATTGGCAGGGCAAGTAAAAATTTGAACCACTGGCCTGGTCGAACAAATCCTTAGTGTTGAGCCCTGAGAGGGCAATATGTGTTGTATCGGTGAGTATTATGTGGCGTCATATCTCTTACTAGTGGACACGAGAAAGAAAATTGTATCGAATCGGAAGATAGGTGTATCATCCAAGCCCTAGTAATTAATGACAGAATTACATTTTGGGTTAACATTACCGTTAATATTGTAGAATACAAATATATGAATTCAAGTCTGTGTTGGACAAACCCACCATGGTGAATGATGCTCTGGTCAGAAAGTTTCTGCATGATTGTGATGGCAGTATCTCTGTCAGAGGCTTCTTTGTGCTCAATTAGCCAATCAAGAATCTCCTTAGCTACAAAGCAATTTGGATAGGTGCGGAGATGATGCCTTCTGTCCTTAATCACCTTACTCTCATGGAGTCGCAGTCTGGAAAACAAGGAATACATCAGACCAAGAGTCATCTTTCCACCTGTTTCGGTGTAAATTCTCCATTCAGCAATCAGCATTAAATAACCTGCAACACAAAAACCTGTAACATCACGACACACTTTTTAAAAAATGACCTCCATACCTACATTTACACAGCTATATCTTTCCTGGGTCAATTTATGAAGATTCAACCTAAAATAACTTCCCGGTTTGTCTTTAAAAGTACAAAAGTTTTATAGAACAGATGGTTGACACAGAATGAGACAATTATAACATTGAGATTTATAATCCAGTTCACCTAAACTCAAATGTGTATGTGGCGAGGGGGGCGTGGTTTTGCGAAGTCTGTAGCGGGAGAGAGAGGACGGAGCAGAGCGGAGCGTAAGTAGGTCAAGTGCAGATGATGAACACCTGTGTCTGATTTCAGTAATTGGCGTGGAGAGACCGGATATAAGCCGGCGTGTGAGAGCGAGAGGGGGAGAGAAACGAGCTGGGACCTCGCGTGTGCTGCTGTGGAAAGAGATTGCAACGAATTCTGAGTTATTATATTTTGGCTGTGCCTGTGCACGGTGAACGCGCTCTGTGCGCACCTGTTTGTTTATTTTTATGACCTAAATAAAAGTGAACGTCCCAGCTCAAGCCGACCCCTGTCTTCTTCCTTCCTGTCTGAACTGAACCTTATCACACTGGTGCCGAAACCCGGGAGGGAAGAAGATCGCCGCCGCCATACAGACTCCGCAAAACCACGCCCCCCTCGCCACAGTGTAATGTAATTAGACTAACCTATGAGAGTTTCATTGAAATTCAAGTGCCCACATGTGGCTTTTGGTGTCTTTAACAGTTATTATCATGACTAAATTGTAAACATTATTATGTCATTATTATTATGTAATTTGATTTTATGCAATAGCTTTATTGCACCTTTCACTTAATCCTCTGTGTTAGATTACAGAATTTATGACATCTGGGCATACAAAAGAGGATATGCTGCAACAACAACAAAAAAAAAGAAAAGAGAAAGAAAATTGTCAATACAATGAAAGTCACTTTTTTTGTGTTTCGCAGAAGACCTACAGGTTTGAAACAACATGAAGGTCTGTAAATGACAACAGAATTTTTATTTGTGGGTGATCTATCTTTTTAAGAGGTGCTGGGACACACATTTTAGCTTGTTTACAACCAAAAGAAAAAAAACTACAGTAAAGTTACAGTAGGTTATGAACTCCATATGTGCCAGTAGAAGTTTTCCTCATATCTTGTTCTAACACTGATAGCTACGTATTCTGAACTACATTATCAGCAGCAAGCAGTCATACAGCCGTTGACACATTGGCATGGGGTTGACAAGTAACTGAACACCCTGTAACAAAGACTCACATGACCACAGCAGTGTGGAGCCAGTAGGTCATACTATTAAAGTGCACTTTGGCACTTTCTGACACGAACAACAGAGCAATCTGAGACACGTGATAGAACATTACCATAATAGCCTGAGTGAAATGTCAGCTACAACTAGTGTTTTCCAATGGCAAGTGGTTGGCGTCTAAAATGAGGCAAATTAATGTTTATGGTTTGCAGTCATATATAACTTATGCACTAATAGTCCGAATTAATGATCAGTTATAGATCATTTCATGTTATGCATCCAGTTCTTATTTTTGGATGCAGTGCTACTGCCATCATTAATGGAAATAAAACTAAAACTAAAACTGAAATAAAAACAGACTAGCATGACTTGGAAAAAATGGAATCTAAACAAAAATAATTGATGACTCCAATGCTAACTAAAATAAAATAAAAGTGCTCACAAATTATTTTTAGTTTTTGACACGTGATGTAATATATGAAATTCTTACACCCAATCTGCATTAAATATGAAAATACTACTAGATAGTAGTAACACTAGATTATGCTGAGAAATTTAAAGATGTTAAACATCTTTAAATTATACAATTAAATATATTTTAAATGAAATTAAATTATTATTTGGTAGCCCTAAAATACTAAAATAAAAAAAGACTTTAAAAGTACATCGACAGAAACTTGAAAACTAAACTAAAGCAAAAGATGGCAGTGAAAACGAATGAAAACTAAATTGAAGATAAAAACGAATTGAAAAAAACTGTAATAATAATCCTGTATCAATCCTGACAATGTTACTCTACAAGAATTGGCTTTAGCCCCCATTTTGTCTAGTATTTTTTTAATTATATTTCTTGTTTTATAAAAAAAAAAAACTATTATATTGTCTATCAATATTGTTGAAGAGGCACTTCCATATTTCTGGAACCCCTTGCTGTTTATTTAAAACCTGTCCATTAACTGGACTAAACCAAAGACTTCAGGTATGCAAAGACGGTGCTTCCTTATGAAGCCCCGCCCCTTTTCAGCGCTGCGCTCGTTGTGTTCGGTCTTCCGGTTTGTAAATCCACAGCATGAAGGTAAGATCTTACGGATTTATGAATGCACTGCTCGTTTTAAAATCTATGCTTAAAACGTTACAATGCTCTTGATAACTTTCGTTAATTCTACAATAAGTAAATCCACTTCACCAGCGAATTACTTAGAAATATATAGATATATAGGTAGGTAGGTAATATATAGGTAGAAATACCATAGAAATATACAGAGCTACTGCAAAAACGGAAGTTCAAAATTTTAAAGATGGCTGCGTGCTTGTTTCTCGTCTTCCACATAAAGTCTATTACTATTAATGAGAGAAAGTGCAATGCGTAATATGGCGGAATAAGTCCCGCCTTCTAAATAAAAGTCATTGCATCACTGCAGTTAGTGAATCAGAACAGTCAGTGTTCTGAGAAGCGCGCTTATGACTGAACATGCGCATTGGCAAGTCAAGCCTATACAGTTTTTTTCATGATTTGAGCATTTAGTAACACAATTTAAGAAAGAGATTTCAATTATATGAAATTGAATCGGAAGAACAACTTTGGAGAATTTGACGTTTGCCCATTCAAAGAGATAGGAGCTGTACTTGCATACTGCCTGATGGCGAGTGAAATGACATGCCTTAGAAGAACTTTGACTAAACTCTGTTCTGAATACCAACAGCAAACCTAGAGCTAACCTGATATCAGGTACACCTGAGCTGGACAGGGTGAAATGTGGGTCTGCTGTGACTGCCTGATTACTGATTATACAAACCTGAGTCAGCTGTACATGGAAAAATGGAAGTGATACCAGCAATCGGCAGATAAAACTGGTTCACTGTGACCTACAATAACAGGACCAGTCCTGTGGTACTGGTATTCCCACACAACTTGGGAAATAAAATCTTTCTCTAGCCCACCAAATGATGTCTTTACCTCCAGGGAGTCTGTTAGAGATCCAATAACATTATTATTATATGCACCTGAAACCACATTCAGGACGTTGCATATGACATCATGTACAGAACCTAATGAAACAGCTGAGCTTGTAAATAAATACGTTTTAAGGTTGCTAGATAGTGTACCACTGAAAAAAACTATGGTGTCCTGTACTGTGATTCAGCAATTATTAATCAGATGTATTGACTAAACACCGTTCACTGTCACTGTCACACTTCACTACGAACAGAGCAGGTGTCTGGGAAAGGACATAGGCTCAAACATAGCTGTGTTCTCCAATCAGTCACATTAGAAAAAAAAATGAACTAAAACTCAGCAAGGTTGTGATCAACAGCAAACAAATAGATTTTCATTAATTTGTGTATCAAAACTAGCTCCAGCAGATAGATCAGGGGCCAGTTGCATGAACATATCCCTTATGTTAAGACTGTGTCTTAAGTACAATATGACCAACTAAAGCATTGAGTCAAGGGGCAGTCAGTCCCACTTTCTAGTAACAAATCAGACCAATACGTGTTGATATAACTGAGTCTGACTTGGAACAGTTATGAACAGTCTTAATGAAAAAAAATGTGATGACTAAGTTAAGGCGGCCATACACTGTGCGATTTCAGCATGGTACCTACTCACACTGAACAAGTAAATCGCATGCGATGTAAAGCCAAAGTTCAGGATTTATGTGCTCACACTATACGGTCCGATCATCGAGCTGCGACTTCACTGCTCACACTATACGTGTGAAATATCTGCGATAAACCCCTGGATTGCGCCTATAGACGATATCATGTATCCAGAGATATTGTCAAAACAAGCATCAGCTATCAATATCAAGATGATTTAGCATTTCCAATTTATGCATTAAATTATTATTAGTATTGTATTATCATTATTAGGGGAGGCCTAATTTTATTATTAAATTGATCCGCTATTATAATTAATTTGCCACACAATAATTTCACAGCACATAACCAACATGCTGTGAGGATAATAAAATATTACATAGAAGCTTACTCCTCCTCATTGAAAATTGTCTAAAACATTTAGGTCGATTACAATGATTTATAGGCATATAATTAACTATTAACAGTCTATAATATGTCCGAACATTGCAATAATTAATCATCAATGAAAATTAAAAAAAGGTTTATTTCAAAAACATTGTTTAACAAATTAATAAAAGAGGCATTACATTGCAGGGCTTGAAAGACGTGGGTAAATATGGTTAATCCATTTTGCAGCATGAACTGGAGGTAAGCAACAGTCATTTGTAGCTAGTTTGAACTACAGAACTTAAAGATCTCCCTTTTTTCGTTTTTATTTTAATTTTATTTTTGCTGCAGATGAAATGGTTAAACTTCTGTTTTCGCGCAGGTGCAGTGAGGGAAAAAACACTGAGTTTAGGGCAATCGGTTCGTAGCTTTGCTTCAACTGTGCGATATAGTCACGAGAAGCGACCAAAATTTCTGACACGCCAAATTCATCTGACCATCCGATTGTCGTTCGGGAGAGGTTAATCGCCTCTCGTTTCTCTCTGTAGACTGCACGGACACTGCACGACAAAACGACGCACGACAAAGCTGAAAATCGGTCCGACCCGAAAAAGAGTCGCGCGAGTCAGAATTAGGCTCAAAATCGGACGAAAATCGCACAGTGTATGGCCGCCATAAGTTGTAAGACTAGTCTTCGCCGTGCAACCGGCCCCAGGTTTTCCCCTATGGACAAACCCAAACAAATTATAAGATACAGTGATAAAAGGGTGGACACACAAACTTCACACTCTGAATAGTTTTTGAATTAAAAGATTGGAGTCCGACATATAAAAGTCTGACATACATCAGGCGGATTTTGTTTGTTTCACTGGAAGATCGAATTAGTAGAGATGATGTGGTCAAAAAAAAAGAAAAGTAAAATGAAAAACAAAAAAGAACCATAACATGCATTTACAAAATAGATAAGGTGATAATTCCAACTTTAAAGATCACCTTTTTTTAAATGGAAAATTGTGTAATGACAAATGGGTGTGCCAAATGCATGTCTTAATGTGCTATATGTTTAAACCAACAAAATATTCATCCAAAATGTGTAATAAAAGATCAAAGTGTGCACATGCATGGTGTGTACACACTAATCTGAAGTCATTTTTTGAGTTGGCATAAAGTGGAATTTGCGATAGTCTTTTCTTCCCTATTGTGCGATGTACTGTATAACTGAGGGGCCGTTTACACTACACCATTTTCAAATAAAAAACAAAAAAAATTGTATGCATTTTGGCCATTCATTTACATGACAACTGCGTTTTTGGGCCCTGAAACGCAAACTTTTAAAAACGATACCATTATCGTCTCTGTGTAAACTACAAAAGCGAATTTGTGAAAATGGTCACTGCATGCGCATTCCATGTTCAGTCAATAGGCGTAAAGTGTTTCTTTACAAAGTGACATCGCCAACTACTGGCCTGGCATGAATAATGAATATAGTTTTTAATTAGTTTTCGGGGATCCGTGTGAACGGGGATCGTTTTGACGATAGTGTCATCTGTAAGTGGAAAATGAAAAGGAAAAACATCCGTTTTTACATCGTTGTCATGTAAACGTACCCTGACTAAAACTACTTCTAAAACAAGAAAAAAAAATGTGAGGCGGGACTTCATTTTGTCAATTTTTGTTTGCTATTGCTGTGAGCTCATGTGAGTGACAGATTGTCCCGCCCTCGCGCCACTAAACACGTCATCAGAGAAGAGATGTCTCTGCAAGTGGGAAAGAGGGCACGTGAATAAAAAAATAAAATAAAAATATGTAACGATAAATCATGCAATATTCCATAAAAAAAAATTAGAATTGTTCATTTTTATTTCATGGTGACTTCAAATAGGCACAGTGGCTAATTAGAAGAGATCTCCTGATAGCGACGCGACACACTAAAGACGTCGGTCGCTTGCAGTTTCATTCATCGGGATCGTTCTAGTTTTTGATGCGTGGCGTCGGTGTAATTGGGGTGTCAAGCCACACCTACCGTAACTGTTCTCCTGTAACGAGGACTTCGGCCATGCGCTCCAGCTCAGCAGCCCTCTTCTGTGTGCTGTTCCCAATGCCGTCCATCTCTGACACCCGCGCTGAATATGAAATCATACTCGTGAATGTGACATATCAACGTTTGGAGGAGAAATACGCTTCTCGTGAAACGAATTGACATGCACAGAGTGCTTAAATTTGTATTGGGTGTACTGAACACGCCTCTCAGCATATTATTTGGGAGAGGCTTGATGATTATGACAGCTTTAATATTTGAGGTAGACGAACTGTCCAGAATGAAATGAGCGATAACAACACAGCGGCATGTTAGATGTTTATGTAACACGCCATCCGAAAGATTTAAATCAGACTCCATAATGTAAGACCGTCAAAACAATATATAGATATGGAGAAAAGATTGTTTACCTTATTAATACCGATGCAGAGACTTCAAACAGATCAGAAATTATGTTTGCAGAGGAACACCAGCGATATCACTGTTCAGTTGATAACAGCTGAAACCTAGTCGAAATAACTTGTGTCTTTTGTGTGCCATCAAGTGCCCTCAGCCATCACATGCGTTTACATGCATGAACCGCCAAGCTTTGCAATAAATCCCACCGAAGCATCTAACAGCAGATTATTTGTGAAGACAGACTCCGGCCGATTAATTTTCTTCATTCCATTGTGGATTGTTTACTATTCTCCAGTGAAAGCACGTTACTGTCCATGTTGCAGCAGGGCGAGTGAGTCACCATCCTCATAGGGGGAGTCACCATGAGGGGCGGAGCCTGGGACCCATCACTTGTATACTCCCATATACTCTCGAATACTCTCTTTAAATCCCAAAACAAAAACAAGACCTGTTTTTTAAAAAGCTCAATATATGTGAATGTAACTTTTTTTATATACATATAAGTTTAAACTACTTCTTTTTTTAATTAAACTAAATATTACATATTTAAATATTTAGTTTTTAAATACTACATTTTTGCCATGCCTTCATCCTTGATTTTTGCTGTTTTTCTAACGTCATTTTATTCTATACACAATGGCAATTCAGAGTAATTTCCATTTAAAAAAATATTTAAAATAGTCATAAAACAATCGTAACAGATGCATAAGAAGTAAAATTAAAGTAAAATAAACTATTTAAAATGTAAAACAAATACAAATATTTATTTTATTATGTATCTATCTATTTTGGTAGATCTATATCTATCAAAAACTACAAATCAGTCCAAAGATGTTTTTTCATGTCCACCACAACAATTTAGTTTTTCTAAAGTTAAGTGTTTACCCAGCACAAGAGTGTCAATGAAGAGCAATAAAATATGGTACATGATGTGTGAAGAAAACATATCTTGGGGACTGAACACTAAGAATCCAGTGTTCAATTGCGGTGCACATTTTTTTGAGCATCACAACTCAAATAAAATGAAAGAACACATTTCAGTGAAATCGTGTTATTTAGCGCCATCTAGTGACGTTTACACACTATTACGCGCCCGCCTGAAAACGCTCATTGGCTCGTGCTACTGTCAATCAACCGGAACCTTCTCTTCCGGTTTAAATATTGCGGGAAAGTTGAGCTGCGTACTGACAACAGCACAAGTGTTTATGTTGTGTTCAGTCGACCTGGATAAAACAATTTTGATAACATGAGGACATTAGAAGAGGTTCAAGCCACACTACAAATAGCTAAAGTAAAAGAAGAAGACCTGCAGCCCGTCACTTACTGTCTCTCTTTTGGAGATAATGTGTCGTCGGGAGATTACTGTCTCCTGGAGCTGGATGATACACTTTGCAAACACATCGAAGCTGGCAAAAGGTGAATAGTGCTTCGTTTTAAGATCAACTTACCATCTCAGTATTATTTTAGACAGATGACGTTTTTAACATAAATTGGTATTGCATGCTGCATTCCCTTCTGGAAAAGAAGTAACTTCAGCATACTTAGTACGTATTACGAATTTAAAAGTATGCTTAAGTGCACAACTGATTGCATGTTATTTACAATGAAGGAAAAAAAAAAAAAAAAAAATATATATATTATATATATATATATATATATATATATATATATTATACACACATAAGTAAGTGTACATATCATAAGTCATGAAAATGTAGGCTACTCTCTTTACAGTAAGTACACTTAAATGACCTTTTATTTCATTAATATTTATATTATCTGCAAGTACAGTTTTTTTTCTTTTCAAATACATTTAAGACTTGTAGTACACTACAAATGCACATTTAATTCAATTAAGTGCACTTCTTTTCACAAGGGTTTGTTAATGTTTATCTGTCCTGAATGATGTATGTCCGTTTATGTTTCTCATTAGTCTTATAATCAGAGGTGATAAAGACGAGCATGCTGTTCTGTGCACTGAAGAAAAGACATACGACTTGAAAATTGCGGACACGTCAAACCTGCTCCTGTTTGTCCCAGGATGTAAAACGCCAGATCAGCTGCCCGACAGCTCAACATCTCAACTCATGCATGCACAGGTGTCTGACTGGAAAAGTTGTTTCTGAAGATGTGATTTTATTCTTTATAGTAGGTGATTATGGGAAGTGTAGTGCTGATTGTGTGCATTGACCGATATGTTGTTATTTTCCAGATTTGGGGTTTTTCAAATAGTTATTGGGAGCTGAGAAAGCAGAGACCAAGGTTGAAGAAACTGAAGAAACTTCTAATGGAGAATCCATATGACGGTCCAGCGGTGGGCATGCAGGAGGAGGCGCCAGGAGAGAAGGTACACCAGGAGTCAGAGTTAGTAGCCCATACTCACAATATATATATTATCGATATATGTAGGATAAACCATGGCTAGCTGTGCATTAAACAATTTAAATTAATGCACGACACAGAGGCAAAGAACCACCCCACGTGAAGTGGAGTGCGTTCAAATCGTTACGTGCACAGCTATTCGTGCATTATCCAGCCTGTACCATGGTCATTTTCCAGCACTGAAAAGTTAAAGCTGTTGTTTACATTTGACCGGAGGTGCGTGTGTGAATTACCTGTGCCTGTGCGCAGTGTCTCTCTACTAACAATGAAAACAACGGTGTAGTTGCTGAGAAATATTATGTAGCGATTCAGTAGAGAAGATAATTTAATAAAAGTCGTGGGGCAGCGTTGACAAGTAAAGTGTCTTTGCTTCTGAATATTTCTGTGTGCTGCGGGGTCTCCAATATCTATGCGTGTGTGTGCTTCAATGAAAACAGTGCATTAATATAGAACAGTGATTAAAGTGACTTGAACTACCTTTGCAATAAACGGTTTTAATGCACACCTTCCAGCCAATCAGAATCGAGTATTCAGACAGACCATGGTATAAGCAAAACTTAGGTGTGTTTAGATGAGTTAGTTACTAATCCATTTACAATGTGTGTACTTATAAAAACTTTGTAGAATTAAGATCATTTATTGTGCATTTATTTAAATTGACATATTTATTTAATCTGTTAGTATACTATAGATGACCTTCTTGAGAGAATCCAAGCAAGTAGAGAAGAAATTGAGACACATCTTCAAAATGTTCATGCTTGTGAAATTGACGGTGAGCTGAGGCAGTTTTTTTGTCTTTCTCTCTTAGAAAATGGATCAGAATACTTGGATAAGACCTTAAGTACATATTCTCTATGTAGTGTAATATTTATATTCTGGAAATGAAAAGTGAAATTAACTTTGGCTGGGTGGGTTACTGGTATTATTATTATTACAAATGATTATAATTTGTAATTGAGTTGTGTTTTTTTTATTCTATTTATTCACAAATTTATTCTTGATTATTAATAATGAGGATAATCGTTCTTTAAAAGATTAATTTGATTTGTCATTATTCCGTTTGTATTCAATTTTCAAAATACCCAATTTCTGTAGAATTATGTTTGATTTTGTATTTTACATTAATAACACTTTAAACACTCTTAGATTACATTTATTAGAAATTGTTTCAGATGTACGTAAAAGTTGTATAGATTCTGGCAACTTCTTGCCCTAAGTAGGGGGTCATCTTAACCCAATTGTTACATTTTCAATTTTGTATTTTAAAAACTAAATTGACATGTTTCAATTTATTTCTTGTGTACATGCTAAAGTGATCTCTATATTAATGCATAAAGCCTTTGTGTTTGTAGGATTTTGGAGGATCCTGGATTTTGATTATGAGATGAAGCTCCTGGGTCATGTGACCCAGCTGGTGGACTCCGAGTCTTGGTCTTTCAACAAAGTTCCTCTCACTGTTTGCCTGGAAGAGCTGGGATCGCTTGAGCCAAAGTGAGTAAATATGAAAGATTAGAAAAGTGTGACTAGAGAAAAGCAGATCAGATTCATCCTTTATAAAAAAATAAAATAAAATAAAAACTTTAATGTTTTTGTTTTGTGAACAGAGCCATGATAGAACACTGTCTCAACTGTTATGGAAGATGCTACACAAGTGAAGGTCAGTATATTTTTATTTAATTAACATTTAATGAATGGAAGGACTCCTTATTTGTTTTTATTTTCATTAGATGGTCAGGTGATGTTTGCATTGGATGAGGACAAAGTATGTAGGGCCACAGCTCAGCTGCTCCTGCAAAATGCTGTGAAGTTCAACCTGTCAGAGTTCCAGGAGGTTTGGCAGCAGAGCGTTCCTGAAGGAATGAGCACTAGACTGGATCAGCTCCGGGTGAGGACTTTAGTCAACTCCACAACACTTACACAAACATTGACTAACATCAGTAACATGCTCCACTGAGAACGTAAGTATTTCTCAAGAAGTATGTTCGTGTCCATGTTTTTGGTCATTCAGGGTTTAGCTCTATTAGATCGAAGCTCTAAACCAGAGACCATCTCGCTGCTCCGGGTCGAAGATTTGCCTGAGGACACACTGGAGCGATTCAACAGACTCTTCAGCCTCAGAGAAAAATGGACACAAGATGACATTGAACCCTACATACAGTGTGTATTTTGACATTTGAATTGGTTTAAAGAGGACCTATTTATGCTTTTTTACATTTTCAACTTTCTTTAGTGTGTAAATTTGCTGTTTGAGCATGAAAAATGTCTGCAAAGTTATAAAGCACAGTCTCACACCAAAATGAGTTATTCTCTAACTTCCTGAATTCTCTGAACATCCTGAAATACCTTGATTTTAGTCATTAGTTTTCTTCTGGGAACGAACATGTCACGATATCCCTCATTTAAAAAAATTCCTGCCTATGGCATATGCAAAATAAAGGAGCGAGGCCTGGTTGAGTTCCATTAGGTGTGTGTTAAAACTCGCGGTTATGGTAAGGTGCGTCATATTTCCGAAACGCACTCAAAGCTGTCGAACAATCAACACAAAGGTCCAATCAGAGCACATTGCTGTTTTTGGACAGAGGGGCTTTATGGAGACACAAACTAAACAGTGTTACTGACAGACTTCGAAGAGAGGTGCTGCAACAATGTAAAATATATAATTTTAAAAAAAATTGTGTTTTTGAACATTCATACATGAAAGGGCATAATAATTTGCAAAAGGGCATAATACAGCCTCTTTAAACAACTATTATTATTATTTTCAAACAATACAATATCAATATAAATATATATGCAATGAAAATAATTACTGTTGTGTATGTTTGCAAATGTCTTAAAAATTGACTGAACTGCCCTATGGCAACTGCAAGTTTTCAAAAGATGAGAATATTTACAGACATAACCCTCAACTGATTGTTGTTTCCTCAACAGAGATCTCTGTGGAGAGAAGCAGACCACTGGAGCCCTGCTGACCAGACATGCCCGTTCATCTGTGCAGAATGGTATTAAGGTCTACAATTCAAGAAGACCTGTAGCAATTTAACAACAAAACAAGTCACTGTAAAGCCACTTATTGTTGCTTTTTATGTTGAGTCAAAAATAATAAACATATTATATATACATATTATCTTCGTGTGTATTGTTATTTGTACACTACTGATACAATAAGCCTTAAAATGACTGTGTATGTTTACAGTTGGTTTAATGTTAATGTTTTATATTATTATTTCTTCTTTAATTGATAAATTAAGCATAGAAGCTCTCTGATCATGCCAAAAGACATCCATAACTCAGATTTTTGTTTATCAAATGTATATTTGTAACTAAGGAATAGTCACATATTACAGGTTTAAAAGCCTGCATTACAATATAATTTAAAGTAGGGCAAAAGTTTTGTATTCTGAAAGTTACGTTGTTTTCATAGTTTGAGTTGGTTTGTGGGGAAAAAAGAAATGTTAAGAGTGTTTTAGAAGGGGAAATTAGAGAGGGTGTGGAGAAAAATGAGCGGTCTTAAACTGTAAAAGGGGGGCAGTGAAAAGTAGATAGAGTGCGAAAACAAGAATACAACTTGATTTACATTGTCGTAGTAGTTGAAAGGTCAAATAAAATCCTATTTGTATTTCCTAATAGAGGCTTATCTGTGGTTTTTGCTCTGAAAAGGAACTCCCCTGGAATGAGTACTGAAAGAAAATTCAGACTTTTTATTTTAGATTTTCCACCACAGGATCGTTGTAATTCTACAAAGGTTTCCTCTGTCAATTCTCCCTAAATGATCTATTGAACAGAATTCGCAGAACTGTCTTTACTCGTGCTATTACTTCTGTTGTGAAGTGGTGAAACAGCTGTGATGGGTCAGAAGTCAGAAAATTATCTTCCTTTAGGTTGCAGACCAACACAGAGTAATGATGAACATGTCATCTTCGTTTTAGTACATTTTCTGTACTAAAAGACAATAGAACTCAAACATCCAAAGAGCCCATATTAAATAAAAAATTCATACCGATAAAATTCTTAATGCTCATCACATTTCACATGAAAACTGCTGAAGAGTACGTGTAACATGTCTATTTTACATTTTGAAAAAAATGGAAGGATATTTTCCCATGATACCAGGTAACTGCCATCTTGTCTCTCCCACATTTTTCACCAACTGGTAGGGCATTAATAGGTAATCGAGGAGGAGCTGTCATTCTCACCTTTGGCCATAAATTTCAATGAAGAATTTAGTTAATTTATGAGTATCCCATTCCCAATACTGAGATATTACTGTGTGTACGAGAGATATTAATGATACAGGTCAGAATATAATCAAAACAGTCAACAAATTTTAAATGCATGTTACATTATATACCATGTTTCTTTGTTTTGAAAGTAAGAACTTAGACTGTTTATATAAGAATCAAGTATATCAAATATAATTTATCAATGAAATATTATTTGAGATATATTGATTTTTTAACAGGGAGGGCAAGTCCATTTTAAATTTAAAATGGACTACTTTTTGGTCAAGTCTGCTGGTAATAGCTGAGAGTGTGTGCACTGTAAAAAAAAACTTAACTCATAATTTTGTGTTATCTTTTTGCATGGGTTTTTTTTTTAGTTTAACTAACTTATTTCGATAAGTTGAGGACAAGAAAACTTAAAATTTCTTGTTGTCTGGACAATCTAGTTATCTCTACACAAAAAAAAGTTGAAATAACTAAATTGCTAAAATATTTTTTACAGTGTGAGATGTATTCAAACCACATGTTCTCCACTGAGCAAAATTACTCCCAACCTCAAAAAAAAAAAGAAACAAGTATTAGACAGCTGTGACAAGTCATTGTTGTAGTATTTGTTGAACCCAATCAAAACAATTCGTAATGCTTCATGGGCCATTAGCCTATGTTTCATTTCACAAACCCATCAGTTCATGCAAGTCCTTCTGAGACACCAAACATACGCACATGACAAACATACGCATGCAAACGAATATAATCATATAACAATTAATATATTCCATTATATAACAAATCTTAAACCAATTTATTAAAAGAAATATTTTTTCAAGCAAAACATTCCCTAAAAAGAAGCTTACGCTATCAGAAAAAAATACCTTTAGGGGTACAACAGCTTGTCACTACAGGACATCTTTACCTTATTTAAACATTATAGTAGTAAAAGCATTGTATAGCCTACCTTAAGGATACATAATACTACTCTAATATGCATCTATTCAACTGTGCAAAAAATAGTGTTGTATGGTTAACTGTCACAAAACCATGACAATTCAAGAGATGTTGTTGACAGAAGTGAAAGGAAAAAAGGATATTGATGTGAATATGAAATGCTTGATGAGTGGTGCTGTCAGTACCAGATTTCAAATAGTTTGAGAAGGTTTTGAAAAGAACACAAGCAATATCATTTCAGATATCAGACTTTTTTGTTCATGATCACTCCAGTTTATTTTAATTTGTTAATAAATCTGCAGGACACACTTCTGTTTCAAATGTAAATCTCAACATAACATCTCAGATGAAATGAAAGTGTGTAAAGAAAGATAATATACTTTGCAGGCCGAAATTAATCACCCACACTCTCATTACCAACTAACTACTCAAACACACAAAAGTGAATCTGGACTGTCTGACTGTTTCTGATCAGACACAAACAATTCTCATAAGTCTCAAAAGTTATCTTTATGACTACCAAATATCAGAGACCATAATAAATTGTCCCTCTCTAAACATCAGAGGTTTTATATCTTCTTTTAGTTCTTCAAACTGCTAAAGACAGTGGCCATAATCTCAAGTGTCACAATGTCACCCATGAGACCTGAAAGTACAATTCCTCTGAAAAATCCTGCATACGGTATGTTTTGCATTCTGGAACCATCATTGTATGCTGGTTGCTGGTTTGGGAAGAGGGAGTGCTGGTGGACCAGCTACACCAGTTTAGCTTGAGAAAAAAACTCTACTTCTTATGAAAAATAATTTTATTCAAGTATGCTGTTAGTAAACTTCTTTTAAACAAAAAATAGACTTTCAGTCTACTTTTTATGTACTTCTCCGAAATATACTTAAAATTGCACTTTAATATGCTTGACTTATACTGACAGAAAGGTATAAGTATATTTGGCCTATACATGTACTCAATGTTTTGATTGAGTCATACTTAAAAGTAAAATAAAGTATTCAAATTATACTTGGCTTGTAGTTGTTTACTCTTATTAGCCTAAAGTAGCCTATTAAATACTTTGTTCACATAGTTCTACATACTGTCTTATAAAATTATATTATTTGAAAATATTGATTTATAAAGAAAACAGATATGGCCCTAATTCTAAGTATCTGAATTATTTGTAGACTAGTCAACTGGTGGTGTACAAACAAAGGAATTTACTTCACTTTACTTTTCCCCCACCATTGACTGAATTATCCATGCTATTCCATCCTGCATGTTTTCCCTGTTACGTGAACTGCCCGATGAAACTCACGTATGTCCAAAACGGTTACTTTTCAGGACTCCTTGGTTAGATTTGTCCGCAGCGGTTTTGGAAAAAGTCTGAACGTTGCTAGACAGAGCGCTGCGATTGTCCAGACAAGAACAACGACAACTGAAACCAGACCTACCGTAAGGCCCAAGGATCCAGAACCCGTAATTCAAAAGCAGTTGAACGTAGCGTTGTCATACTTGGTACGGCATCTTTAAATGTAACCATATAATTACCAGTGTAATGATAGGCTATAATCCACATTTGACCAAAATCGAGTTTAAATGGACATACGTGCATATTTTACAGTAACGGTGGTCGATACGCGTTCTTCCGATCATTAATTAGAATGGCCAAGTCGCGTTTCATATTGACAGATGAATAGGCTACGCTCAGTTTATTAAATAGCCTACGTCTCAGTTTATTAAATACGCTCAGTTTATTAAAAGTCTCTTGCAAACTATGAAGGGACAATGAATCAATACACTCATTGCTGAGCCCAGGGCCGGTGTTGTGCCGAATTTCGACTCCCTGCCAAATTATTACCCCCCTCGTTGAAGTCAGTACTTGATTGCCTAATCCTAACCCCACCCATAATCCTAACCCCTCCCCCACAACTAATCCTAAACCTACCAATACTAGGGGGGTAGTAATTTGGCGGGGGTCGAAATTCGGCACTACACCGGCGCGTCCATATAGGCGAACTAGGCTTGCCTAGAGCGGCACTTTTGTAAGGGCTGCAAAATGTGTGCCAACCGGGAATGAACAATTCACAAAATAGGCTAGGCTATATGATCATATAATCATACATAATCAGAGAGTAGCCTTTTTCTTTTCGTTTTGAATTATTTCGTTTAAAGACTTTTCAAGCTTTGTGCATTTGATGTATTTCTCATGTCTGTGTGAGGCATACACTGTTGAGATGCGCTCCAGTTAACGTGCAATGCAAGTGACCGCGCGGGCGCCTCCATGATTATATTGTCTGCTATATATTTTCTTCTTATTTATTGAATCCACTCCAGGCAATTGGTTGATGAAAAATTGATTAAAATTAAGATACAATTTATACAAAAACGAAATTCACAAGAAAGGTTTTCTACAAAATAAAACTTAATGAAGTGGTCAAAATCATGTCTGACACTCCATGTCTCAAATTGTGCATCCTATTACTCGTGCTGTTCACTTTTCATAAATCAACAAAAATGGAAGAAAAAACAACATAATATTTTAACAAATATGAAACTGAATGCGCTCATTTAATGGCTACAACAGTATAGTAGACCTACAGACTCTTTTTGTACAAATTGCTGCACAAACATTTAATTGCACACAATTTAAAAGGCTTCAAATCATGTTCACGGATAATTGTGTGTGCATTTATTAATCATTATGATACTAAAACAATAACAAAGTAGGCTATGCTATGTAGCCTACAAAAAAAACTGCACCCTTTTTTTTACATTTCATCTTTCATTCCGAAATGAACGAAAAAGTACACCGACCCAACATGTATTAGCCTTTTTACCCGTTATCAATCTAAATTAATCTCGTTTTTAATTTAACTTAATTTCGTTTTTCTTTATTTAAATTTCGTTTTTCTTTATTTAAATTTCGTTTTTTTCTTTATTCAATTTTCGTTTTTTCTTTATT